ACCCAGAAACAAAGATGAATGAGACAGTGCCTGCCTTCGGGGACCTCCACTCTAGGAGGGGGCTCATGTAAAATCAGAGACACATGGAGAGCAGAGCAGGGAACGGTCAACCTGGTAGCTCAGGAGGGCAGGGAAAGCTTCAGAGGCGGGGGCATCTATGCAACACCTTGAAAGGTAACTAGGAGTTTGCCAAGGCAAGTCACTGGGGACAGTTTTTGTGTCAAATAAATGTTTTTAAAAAATTGGGCTGCCTTTATCGGCTGGGCTACTACCTGAATCCTCCTTGTTCCTGTGGAGAACAAGGAAATGCCCTCAAAACCCATCCCCTGGCCAAGAGTTCCTAGAAGGGGTTGGGCAGTTGAGGGAAGGGTATGGGAAATGTTAGCCTGGGGTTTCCCTGAACTGAAGGAACGCTGCTAGTCTCTTAGAGTCGGTAGCAATAAACTTCTCTGATTTCACTCACTCACTCACTCACTCACTCACTCAGATACCAGTGCCTCCTCCTGACCCTGTGCTTCAAGACAGGGCAAGAGAGATGAAGCAGACATGGCCCCTCCTTCTGTCTGAAGAGGACAAATGAATAAATAACCACCGCACAGTGTAGCCATATTAGGAGCAATCACAGAGGGCACCAGCTCAGCCTGAAAACATTTTTTTTGTTTGTTAATTATGTGACACATCAAACATGGAACGATTAGAAGACCCAAGAAAAATTTTGAAATAAAATCTCTCTGGTTTCACCACTCAGCTGTGATCCCAGTTAATAGCTTCATCTACAACCTTCCAGATGTTTTTCTATGTACATAACCTTAAAAAAAAAAACTGCCTTAAAAACACTAAGTACAATGAGGGGTAGATCTTGGAACAGAAAAAAAGAATATTAATGGAAGAACTGGTAAAAAACAAATAGAGTGTAGTAATGTACCCATGTTAATCTCTTGGTTTTGACAAATGTACCACAGTTATGTAAGATATTGACATTAGGTAAAGCTAGATGTATACAGAAACTCTCGGTACTATCTTTAGTACTTTTTTTTGTAAACTTAAAATTATTCCAAAATAAAAAGTTTGCTTTTAAAAATGGACCTGTTCTCTATTTTTTACAACCTTTTTTTTTTTATTCATACAATAGTTAATCATGGAATTCTTCTGTCTTGAAATGATTTGCCCTATTTCATGATCGCATACTATTCCATTCCATGAATGAATCATAGCCGATCTCCTCCATTGTTGGAAATTTAGGTTGTTTCCAATTCTTACCCGGTAATTAAAAATGCTGCACATACTTAGTCATTTCCTTAGGATAGATTAACACAGTGGAATTGCTGAGCCACAGCTGCTGGCTAAGGAACACGTACTGCATGCCACTGGCCATCACTGTGCCTCCCAGAGATGGGTGCTATGACCCTCATTTTACAGATGAGTTCACTGAGGCTTCAAGGTCAAGCATCTCCCTACTATCAGTGCCAATACCTAATCACAGCCACTTGTCACCCCAGAACCCATGCCCATGGCTGTAGGCACATGACTGAGCGCAGAGCTGACAAACACACTGAGGATTTCCTTTCTTGAGTCTCACAGAAAAGGGTCCCCTGGTTCATGGTCAAAGCACTGATGTGGTGCATTTGGGAGGAGGGAAGGATGGCACGCGGGGAGGCCTTAAGGCGGGCCGTCAGCTCTATGTGTACATATCCTTGTATCCTCCTCGGTTCTTGACATTACTTTTGAGCTGAAAAACTTCTCTTCTGCTGTCGCCATGCTTGGTTTGAAAAAATACTGTTTCCAACTGGATACAATTAAAGCAGCCCTGAGTGCCTGCAGCGTCCGCACCTCCCCGACGACGTGCCCTCTGGCTGGAATGCCCCATCCTCCCCAGGGAGCCGCCCTGACCCCACCTCCTCCACCCTCTTCTCTGCAGTCTGACCTCCTGCACCACATAATTAGCCCTTTCTTTACACCGTTTGTTTTCCAAAATAGACTCAAGGCAGTTTACAACACACAGAAAAGCACAAAAACACTAAACATAAAACGAATGGGACTGGGCGAGTTGGGGTAAGGATTTTATTAAGAAACCCTGGCAGAGGAAAGCATAGCGACTGAGAACAAGGGGCGCTTCCTCACAGCCAGGGTGAAAAGGGAAACGCAGCAGACAACGGAGTCTTTCTTACCTCGTCTAAGAATGCAGACCAGCTAAATAGGAAGCAAAATTATCTCCTAGCGCAAAGTTCAGCGGGATTTGTCCCCAAGGTCTTCACCTAAGGGACACTATACAATGTAATGATTTGTTCTATAGCAATTTTACCCGAAAGGGCAGATCTGTGTGACTTGAAGGCGACTTGGACAGGACCTGGGCCTGTCAGGTCTAGGCCTCACTCTCTGATACCTTGTCTTTCCCCTCCCACCTGTTCTCTGCTGGGGGCACCTGAAAGGGGCCTTCTGCGAGAGACACAAACAGTCCATTGCCCAGGGAAACTCTAAACACACAGCAGCCGCATTTCCACAGGAGCAGGACAGTGTTCCCTCTGGGGTTATGAATAACGCAAAGCCACGAGGCACATGGTGCAGCAGAGCCACGCACACACCCTGCTGTTGCCACTCTTTCTGGAACCAGGCCGGGGGTAGGGGGAGTAGAGGGAACTGATTCCTGCCCCCCTCCCCAGGAATTTGTCCTTCTGCCCCATCTGGGACAGGGGTGGTTCCCAGAGCTTTGCATGCGCAGTACATTGGAGCTTTAGCACCCACAGCAAGAAAGCCAGAAAGAATGCTGAAGGGGAAAAAGGCCTTACCTGAGGTAGCGCTCTCCACTCAGGTCCTTCATGGCGACAGAACAAACCTGTTGTAATTTCTTCTTTCATTCACAATCAGAGCTCATAGACGATTATGGGATGACACTTCAATCAACTGAGCCACACCAGCTGGGGAAAAGCTTCTCCTTATAAACTTCATTTATACTTTTATTCATTTATACAGTTTATACTTTTCAGGCAGCATCACCAGTCTCTTTTCAGAAGTATCACAAGGGCCTTGAGAATTTTTCTCCCCTCAGCACAGCATCAAAGCAATTGGCACAGTGGTAGGAGGTGGGAGTGGGGAGCCACAGACTGGGCTCACTCTGGCTCTGCCATTCCTATGTGTGTGAACCTCAAAATGCACACACATAACAAGGAGCTAACAATAGTTCTTACTTCCACAGGGTTATTGAGAATAAATAGGATAACAACCTACTACACAGTAAGCATGAAATATGTTAAACTATTATTATGGAAATACAAAAATACAGAACTTTGCACACAATTTCAGAGGTCCAGGGACTTCTAGGGGATCTTCAGGTTAAGAATCCTTAGTGCAGTTCTTAAGTCAGGGAGACAAGAAGTCTTGCCAATAACTACATTTTCTCTGCGAACTTAGCAGCATATAGTGAGCACCTGCTGTGTACAAGGACTCCAGGCCCACATGAGTAGATCGGTCACCGGTGCCGGCACACTTGAGGGGCAGAGGCAATTTGCACTCTACTGATGAGGTGACTTGGCCAGTGTCTCATGGTGGTAAAGCTGCTGCTGAAATCTGCCTTCCTGAGAGAAGACTGTCTTCCTGAGAGGTGAGGCTTCCCGAGGACAAAGCTGCTCTTCATCCAGCTCTGTTGTCTGTGACACTCTATGCACGTGCGAGATCCTGAGATGCACACCCTGGGTCCTCAGACTGCCAGGGGTGTTCTGGCAGAGTGTGAGTGCCCGTGAGAAAGAACTCTCATCGGGAGGGGCCCTTTCTGCTGCAGAACCATGCAGGTCATTGAATCACTTCAGCAACAAAATCAAGGGGACAGTTTCAGTCTGCCCCTTGTGTGTGACCTCAGGAATCACTTTGCTGCTGAGTCTTGGTTTCTTCATGTGTAAAAGAGGAGACAGTTCCAACCACCTAGGATGCTTTGTGAGGGTCAAGGGAGTTCGTGGGTGTGAAGCCATCACGGTCCCTGGCATGTTGGTCCCGCAGGAGGGGTAGCGGTTCTTAGCTCATCCAATCTGTTTCCAGATGAAGAACCAAGCCCAGAGAAGGGAATAACAGCTCAGTGGGTCTTTTTTCAGTTTCTATACTTCCATCGTACTATGAGGACTCCCAGGCTGGTTTGACAGATATTTCCCTCCATTTCTTGCACGATGATCAAAGAGGGGAAGAAAATTTCCATGGGTATTTCAATAGCTCAGGAAGCCCAGGCCGGGTGGCTCAGTTGGTTAGAGTGTTGTCCCGATGCGCCGGTGTTTTGAGTTTGATCCCTGGTTGGGGCAACTAGTAAATGCGCGGATAGGTGGAGTGATAGATCAATGTTCCTCTCTCTCTCAAAATCAATCAATCAATCAATCAATCAATCAATCAATAGCTCAGGGAACGAAAAGGCCAGGGCAAGTGAGTCATGCTGTCGCCTGCAAATGACTGCAGAGGTGGAGAAGTGGTGAAGCAGAAGAGGGAAGAGTTGGCTCAGGGTGCAGGACTTAATATGCCAGTGACAACTCTGCTTCTCTCCAGAACAGGAGCCTGAAAGCAGTACAGTGGCCCTGCCAGCCCGGCTCCCCCTGGCTGCAGGGAGCGCTGTCATGTCCCAGAAACCTCCCTGGCACGGGCCGTCCTTCCAAAGTGCGTGAGAGCTTCAGTTCAGACAAACAATTTAAGCTCACTTTTGCCAGGGGAAGAAATGGATTTACAAAGAAGCAACCAAGGGTGTTAAAGAGGCATCTGAAAAGGCAGCCAAAAGTCTGGCTTAGGGAAGAGAAGTGCTGGCTTTCTAGGCTGTGGACAACTGTCTGCTCAACAAATACCCAGCCTGGCAGGAAGCAGATATTTTTCTGTGTGTACTTGGACCCAACTAACACTTATCCTGTGTCTGTCACATACCAGGCAAAAAACTTCTCCTTTAAAAAAATTTTTTAAATTTTATTTGTTTTAATCTTCACCTGAGGATTTTTTTCATTGCTTTTAAAGAGGAAGGGAAAGAAACATTGATGCAAGAGAGACACATTGAGAGTGGTTGACTCTTGTATACACCCAGGGATCATACATGCCCAGACTCGAAACCAAACTGCAACCTAGGCATGTGCCCTGACCTGGGATTGTACCCACAACCCTTCGATTATGGGATGACACTTCAATCAACTGAGCCACACCAGCCAGGGAAAAGCTTCTCCTTATAAACTTCATTTACAAGGAGATGCGGCCTGAAAAGGCAGCATCACCAGTCTCTTTTCAGACAAGAAAACAGAAGAGTAAATGATTGGCTGGGATTTGTTGTACATACCCTGGATTCCAAGCACAGCGCTGTTTCCACTAGGCCACCAAGCCGCCTTGTCCTCGGGCTCATGAAAAGCCTGCCTATGAACTGCAGGGTGAGGGTGCACGCTCAGCTTATGAGCACGCACTTGGACCTTCCTACCTTACAGCTTCTAGTGACCACAAGAAAGGGCTTCCAAGCCAGATCTAGAATTCAGTGTCATTTTACTAGCCCAGATCCACTCAAAAAATGCCACAACAGGGGATACAAACTTTTACAATTTTATTGATTTAGGGGACAAACAAGGCAGCATTTGGTCAGTTAAGAAAGGCACCTCATTGAAAATACATCACAGTGCTGTCAAGTGATCCCAGTCACAGGATTTGAGGACAGGAAGGGCAATCTTTGGATGATGTTGCTTAGGACACTTGCTCATTTATTTCAAGAGTCCCTTCACACATCATGGAGGAAAGAAGGCAAGAGCGTAGGACTGTGGCACACGCTGGGCGGTTGCTGAGCGCCTACCCATGAGGTCGGGGAGACTGGTAAATCAGTGGTAAGTCAGGAAGGGAGTGAGGCCAGCCTGCCTCACCCTCCCTATGACTCCTGTAAACTTGATTTGCTGGGCCACTGCCCCCATGAGCACACCCTGTATCTCTTTCAAATGTGGAGATGATTCTTTGATCTCATGGTGTGAGGTGCCGGCATCAGTAGTCCAACCCTCCCTGTCCCACGCTATAGGACAGAGAGGACACAACAGTTTGATTTCCTGCTTTCCTGGGCCGGCCACCTATGAGGTTCTGAGATAAAAGCCGAGGACTCAGGACACTGGCTTCAAAAAATATTGTCACCAGTCCAGAGTAAATGAGAACTTGATTTCTTAGAAATAGTACGATACCTCCCTATGTCTACTTATACCCTCCAATCAGTCTTTAAAAAAATTGATTACTCATATGTAAAAGAAATTGCTTCACTACAACACTGGTGCTCTTCCAGTATGTTTCTTGAGCCCCTCACCACTCTTGACTCTCCGTCCTTACCCTGACCACCCCTCCCCTCTGCCCAGCACCTAAGAGCAGGGATCACGCCGTGGGGTGATGAGCAGTGGTGCAGTCTCGCCTGGCCTTCTGTTACTAGGCTGAAATAGAGAGGAAAACAAGAGAGAACAAAATGGGTTTTTAAAAAACGAGTAAACATCAGAGAAGGCTGGCATGCTTGCCCCAGCAACCAAATGCATTAAACACTGGACATGTCTCTGCCAGGTGAAAGCTCTCATACTTGCTGAGGTTGAGGCTCTGGAATTAAATGAAGCAAAAATCAAATCCTAACCACCCCCAAAAAGGCGTGTGCGCCCCCCACAATCTAGTTTTCACCCGCAGTCCAAATATTCCACACACGCGTGTGTGGGTACGCACATGTGAATGTATATGGATGGATGACAAATATTTAAGCGAGGATCATGCACATTCAATTAGCAAACATTTCAGAACCTCAACTTTGAGGTCAAATGCCTGTAATTGTCCCCAGTCAAAGGGGAGTAGACGCTAAGATTCAGGAGGCTACCCTTATCCAGAGAAGAATCCCAGATCCCTGCAGACAGGGCTGACAATTTTGGTTTCACTCCTTTCCTTTGTCCATTCCCAGAAGTCGTGTGCTTCCCAGAAACACCCCACACCAGACTGGGTGGAGTTAGTTTACAGCCAGGGAAAGAAGGCAGAGCAGAGCCAGCAGACACTCACTTGAACCAGACAAAGAGAAGCAAGATGGCCACGTACCCACACCCAGCTTCCACGGAGACAGAAGACAAGCCCTCTGGTAGTCCCACAGGCAGCAGGAGAGTGCAGGTCAGATGGAGACTGGGCGCTTTAGAGTCGCTGCACTGAGTCAGCAGATTACGCCAGGGCAGGAGGCATTATTTACTGGACCTGCCACTGATTTTCTAATGGTTTTTCCAGAGGCTGCTGCTTTTGTGGCCCCTCACAGCAGTCTATTTAATTCATCTGTTTGCCACAAGTCAAACCAGAGCCCAAAAGGCACAGCATAGAACCCAGGAAATGCTTTATAGCTGGGGAGATGAGGTTAGGCATAAAAGTAGATGACTGTCATAGGTAATTTTATGTTTGGGTGATCTTTTCTTGGGGAGTCTGTGGCCACCATCATCATGAAGTAAAGGGTGAAGGATTGGATCTGGAAGGGAGAGGGTTTGAGTTTAAAAGGTATGTATACATCTCATTTGGGTTTCATATCCTGGAGAGTGCCTGGGTTTGAATAAATTCTAATCAAAACAAATGCAAGAATAGATTTCCTTTAAATCACTATTTTGTTCATCCTTGGAAACAGAGGCAAATATTAAAAATAAAAACAAAATCCACGTTGGGGATGTGGATTGGCTGAACATCCAGATGTCCAGCCTGGATGTTCAGGAGATAGTCTCAATTTAAAAGGGTCTTTCATCTGGTTTAATTCTTTGGCCATAATTCAGTTTTCAAACACAGTTCTCAAATGATTTCTACTTTATAGAACTATGATGCAGATTACAAAAATATTCCAACTCGGCTTGGCTATTTCTATGATACCCTCTTCCAGTAATTTCTGGGATCTGAAATGTAAATACCTTTTGACTCCCATTTAGGGAGAAAAAAAAATCAATGTTCCCTGTCCACATGCTGACTCATGTGGCTTTTCATCGCGGGTTAGGAAACAAGTGGAATTCCTTGCCAACAATCTGCCATCAGGAACTTTGGTCCTGTCTGACTGCACTTGACCCTGGATTTCTAATCAGCTGTTGGAGATAGAATAAACACCAGGGAATTGGGGTACCTGCCAGATACCTGAGTTAAGTTTATTTTGGTCAAAAAGTTAAATCAAGGGTATGTCTAAAGAAGTAAGCAGCCGGTAAAGCAACCTCACCTATAACTTAGAAAGCAAGAGAGTGTACACATACCTACACCAAACCACACATACAGATGAGATGAGAGTTGCACACACACCAAAGATACATCAAGCAAGTGCTTTTTTAATCAATACATCAAATGATATCTTTACTGGCCTGAGGAAGCTTCCTTCTGCCTGGTCTGCCATTGCCACCCACTCTCTCAACAAGGATAGGAAGAAGAAAGAAATTCCTTATTAGACCCAACATTAGATAAACATAACCAAGTCTTTACATGTGGCTTTGGAGAAGGCTGCTAGGATGCTCGCAAACACGACATCAGGGGTCTGGGATGCATCGATGGCAGAGTGGATCCCTCGTTTCCTGTAGTACTCCACCAACGGGGTAGTCTGTGTGTGGTAGGCCTCCAGGCGGATTTTCAAGGCCTTCTCATTATCATCAGATCGGCGGATCAAGGGTTCCCCAGTGATCTGAGAACAGGAAGAGGACAACGAAAGGCCATGTCCGTTAGCAAAGGTTTCCTTATCCAATGCCAGATGCAGATGTGAGAGGCTGCCTGATCCCAAAGTCTACCAGAGGGAAAGACATCGACAATCCAGACCCTCTCCAATAAAGAACTATAAAAAGCTTCATCACTCCCAGCAAGTTGGTCCCAGGAGCAACTTCCAGAGACGTCGGGGGCCTGAAAGAGCAACCCTGAAGGAAGGGGCTTGTGAGAGGAAGACAGGCAATGTTTTCTCTCAGCTTTTGCTCAGGCTGTGCGGCTTCTAAGACGCACATTTCTAGGTTCAGAAGCCTCCTCAGACCAGGACAATATAGCAAAATCAAAGCTGCACTCGCAATTATAATCTTAGCTGCCTAAGTATGTTGTGTTTTTACTGGGGCATCAGCCATCAACCTTCTGAAAGTAGCAAGTGAAATGCAGAAGAACTCTGAATGGTAGGACTACTAATTTTGTGAAATGCGACTAAATTAACACAATGGCTTTGGAACCCGCATGACCTGAGGAACTTGTCTCACAGGCAAAGGTAAATCCAGGAAATTCTTATCATAGCCTGCATGCTCTAAACATAGGAAATGGGCTATTTATGGTAAATATTACAGCGAACATGTATGAGATCCTCCCTTTTACACATGCAAACAATTGAAGACTGTTGTAAGAATTTGGCGATGTTAATCTAGCCAAAATATTCTGAATTTGTAGGGCACAGTAGAGTCACTAGAGAGAGAGGACATTCTTCTGAAGCAGGTCAACAAACTTCTCTTTAGTACTGTCTTCTCCACCCTGGCTCTAATTCTGGACTTCCAAGCAACCTTCTCCTGATTAGCTGACCATTTAGGTTACCAAGATGTCAGAAAGGTGTTGCTACAGACAAAAGGCAAGTACAAACTGGGCAATGGGAAGTAGCTGGCACTGGAAGCCACCTCAGGGTCAAGCAGTAAGCCACCTGGAAAGACACTATATAGATGAACCACAGCCCATATGCTTTACATGATAGTAATATTTCTCATGGTTAAGTAATAGTGGCAGAATAAAGGGAAGATGGGGGTGGGGACAGTGGGGAAGAAAGCCAAGGAGAAAAGGGAAGAAAGAAAGAAGAAGTTTCCTGGCCTGAGTCTACATACGTCATCTTTCATGGGCTCCTTTGGGGGGTTGAACTCCTCGTGGTAGGAACGGCCACTCATGGGGTGAATCAACCTGAAAGACAGCAAATGGACACAAGTCAGGTGGCTTGAAAGTATCCCGAACCATAGCAGTTTCCAAGATGACAAGCAGAGACAGAGAAGCTGGATGCAAGAACCTTAGCCTAGCAGAGAACGTAGCTACAGGCACCTCTTGCTTAAGATAACTGGGCTTATGCCTGAGTACCTTTTCTATTTTGACCCAACATTAAAATACGTGTCTGGCTGAAGAGGCTGGTATAACTACCTGATTTAGGACTTGAAAGAGGAACTCTGGTACTGGTCTCACACAGTCATTCATTCTATTCACCCATTTACTCAACAAGCATTTACTAAGTGCCCAGTCTGATTCAGGCCTTAAGCTGAATCCAGGAGCTACAGAGCTATGAGTCAAATTCCCTGCTCACAGCAGTCTTCATTCAGTGGGGGAGACAAATGTGGAAATAACTACAATAAGCCTGATAATCCTTTAACAGAGATTTACAAAATGCTATGGGGGACAGAGGGCAGAGAAACAACCTTATTTTCTGAGTTTGGTTCTAAATCCAGAAACGCTATTGAAAAAAATATGTCCTATGGATGCAAATACCACCAGACAATGCACCACTCTCCTGTGATCAGGTAGATAAAAGATAGCCCAACCACTAAAGGGCAGTACTCAAGAAGATGGGAAAGTCATGGAATAAGGAGTCCCAGAAGCAGCACTTATTTGATACTAAATATGCAGTTGATAGGTGCATTGGTGCTGTACCCCCTTCAGCAACAAGCCCATGTTCCTGGCTATATGAGGCCACGCCACCGGAGCCCGGGAACCTAAGAAGGGAAGAAGGCAGGCCAAACGTGGCTGAGCAGCCAAGGCCCACTCGCTTGGGTTTGTGTGGTTTCCCAATTCCATGCTGGCCAAGGTCTGCCTGTTTAATTGATGGCAGCTCTCAAGGTCTATTAGACAAGAGCATCCCAACATTTTTCACCTCTTTGCAAGGACACAGTACTCAAGGTCCTTGCCCCTCCAGGTCTGCCCAGCCGCTCTGATGGTTGATGGGATCAATATGTCAGCTCATCAGTTAGGCAAGTCTGCGTTAGACTATCAAAGTCACAGCTGTGTAAAATGTGATGCGTTTTAATGACAGTGCATTTTTCAGGGGTCAAGTGGTCCGTTTATAGCAAAGGTGGGTCCACTTACAGCACTGGGGAGGTGGGTGAGGTGATGGCAGAGCAAATGAGCTCTACTGCGTGGGCCTGTGACTGCAAGCATGGAACGTGAGGACGGGCCCCCCTTTATTTCGGCTGTTGGAAGGGTTTGTCTGGGGCGTCACTGGGAGACCCAGGGAGAGGAAGAGCGTAGGCTGTCTTGCTCAGCTTTAGCTTTCCCTTTGGGAATGGTGGGGATGTGAGATGTAGCGCTGCTGCTTCGCTTTCTGGAGAGCACAGTGCACATAGCAGCCAGATGGCAAGAAACATGACTCCCTCCTCTTCACTTCTCTACATCTCTTGCTCACTCCCAGATTCCTTCAGACCTCCAGTTGCATACAACAGTGCTCCTTCCCCACTCACGAACATCATTTTAAGAGGAATGCAAGGCTCATTCCTTAAAAGGAAAGGAAAAGAAAGAAAGCCCAATCTCCAAGTTCTCAAAATGGAATTGGTCTTAAGTACTAACCAAAACAGCTCTATGAGTCACTGAACCTAGCCTGGAGGCGGAGGTGAAGATGTGGTGGGATACGGGCTGGGAACCTATGGCCACTGCTACCTTGACTGCGACACCCCAGACACCTGCATTCTCATTCACAAAATGGGAATGAGACATTAGGCTAATGATGCCAGAGAACCAACCAGTAGGATAATTAGGATACTAGAGAGCGAACAGTGAATAGGTTAAAACCCCACACCACCAACCATACTTATTCAAGAAATAAAGACTCAAAATTATTAGAAGTGGTATCTGAGCTAATTCAGAAGGTACCTACAGTGGGGCCTTATGATGTCAGATTTAAATAAGATCTGCATTAAACTGCTAGTTCCTGACTTTTACTGCCAGCTTTGTGGACCAGGTGGCAGAAAGCAGGCTTCTGGTGCCAGTTCTGTCACTGATCTGCACAGGGAACTGGGAAAACACCAGTCTGGCCATCCCATTTCCTCTACTGCGAGGGAGGGGTCACACTAAACTACTCACTTCAAAACCGAGAAGCTGAGTCTCCTCTGCTCCACCCTCTACAGCAACCCTGCATTTGGTTCTTCAGAATCGCTCTGTTCCCTACTAGCCAACCCCAGGTAAAGCCTCCGTCACTTCACATGGGGGTCAATCAGCCTGCTAGGCGGGGTCCCTGTCTGTTTCTCCTTTCCCCCAATTTAGCCTGCATGCCAGGACCAAGTTAATGTTCCTAGAATGTTGTTTTTGCCACACCTAGTGGCTTAAGAACATGCCATGATCCCTGACTCTGTCACATCTGTCCTCTTCACCTTGGCAGGCCTTCCCCAGTCTAGCTCCCATCCCACCTTCCCAACAGCTCTCCTTCTACTGCCCAGCTCCCAGACCATTCCTCCAACTCTGGAAAGACACCCTGCCACTAGCCCCGGCTAGAACCCCTCTCCCAACCAACCCTCATTCTGGCCTCTACTCCCTTCTGGGAAAGCCACCAAAACCCTCTCTATTTAGGAAGGTCAAGTTTGACATCACACCTCTCCTAGGTTGCCTTCCCTCTCTCCCCCACACTCTCTTCTTGGACTTCCCGCTACACTAAACAGCCCAGGTTTCATGTATGGTTTGCAAACTCCCTGAGGTCAGAGATGGGCATCATATTGTTCTTCTATATCCTCTCCTGCTCCCTCCCCCAGAACCTAGTACCATGCTGAGCACAAAGCAGGTGTTCAAGAAGCGGGACCAATTGAATCAAAGGCCCTCAGTGTCACTTAGTACTGTTAACACCTGCTTTGCACACCCAGGACCCCAGCCCCGGTGACGTCCCATCCTGTCAACCCTACTGCTTCTCGACCTACATCAACTTCGTCTACTCTCTGCCAGTGGGGAGGCAAAGAAATAAAAGTTCCTGCACTGAAGGAGCCCATGGAATAGCTAGAAACACAAAACCTGGACATCTGAAAAGAATATTAATGTAAGATGATCCCACTGCATCTAATAGAGCCTTAGAGGAAAAGGCCTCTAACACCCCCTGTCGTCGGTTTACGTGCCTGCCCTTCTCCGTGAAGATACAGACTGTGGACACATGGAAAAAATGTTCAACCTCATTAGGAAATTAAGGCCATAAAATTTACAGTAAGAAAGCAGTTTTCCCCTAATTAAATCCAAACTTTTACATGTACTCTGATGGCCACAGCATCAATTGAACAGTGAAAAACAGGAAGAAACACAAATGTGCAGCAATAATGGAACAGTTAAGTAAATGATGGTTCATCTGTGAAATATCATACAGCAATTAAAAATTACGGTCACAGATGTCTGGTTCCATGACGTAGGCTGACTACCTTCATGAGACCCATGCAAATGACTAAGGAATAAAAAAGCTAAAGCCTGCAATGAAAGAGACTGGGAGGAGGTACTGGTGGCTGAGAGCTTTCCACATATTCTGGAAAGGCACAGAGCAGATGGCAGAGCGATGAGTAAACATGGCAGAGGACACGGGCCTGGGGCAGCGGTGGTCTTTCAGAACAAACTTGCTCAGATGCGGAAGCATTTCTGTGTTCAGTGTTGACCACTAGAGAGAAACAAGCACTTTATTTTTAAAAAGGTTTTACTTACTTATTTTTAGAAAGAGGAGAAGGGAGGGGAAAGGAGAGGGAGAGAAACATCGATGTACAAGAGAAACACTGACTGGTTGCCTCTCGCACACCCCAGGGAATGTGCCTGGACTGCTGGGGGGCCTGGCCCACAATCCAGGTAGGTGCCCTGACAGGGGATCAAACTGGAGACCTTTCGGTTTCGCGTCATGTGACCTAACCCACTGAGCCACACCAGTCAGGGCTAGAAATAAGCACTTTAAAACAAAACATGCAAAAAACTCCACAGTGGTTTTGGCTAGGTGGCTGTACCATGAGCAAATTTTCTTTCATTTTCTAAACTTACTATAGATGGTCATATTATTTTTATAATTAATAAAAAGCCTACAGCAAGGTATGACAACTCCAACTTAAATCAGACTTTAAAATGCACTAGAACAGAGGTGCACATCAATAAAAATAGAATAAAAAAAGAAAAAAAACAGAGGTACACGTGTAAAGAATTTAACATTTCTTTCTTTTTTTTTAAAGATTTTATTTATTTATTTTTAGAAGGGGGAAGGAAGGGAGAAAGAAAGGGAGAGACACATCAATGTGTGGTTGACTCCCGTGCACCCCCTACTGGGAACTTGGCCTGCAACCCAGGCATGTGCCCTAGACAGGAAATCAAACTGGCAACCTGTTGGTTTGCAGGCCAGCGCTCAGTCCACTGAGCCACACCAGCCAGGTCAGAATTTAACATTTCTTAAGCACATACAGTAAGCAAGGCTCTGTATTATGCATTTGTTATCTAACATGCACAATAGTTCCTCAAACAGTTATTAACTCTATTCTACACATGAAGAAACAGCCTTAGAGAGGTTAAGTCACTTGCCTAGAATCAGAGTAAAAGGGTGACAGGCCTGAGATGCCGTCTGACTTTAAACCCCTTGCTCTCCTTTCCACATCTCCATCCATGTCACCAACTTCCGCAGATGTCACCAATAATATCAATCCATGCTGAAATGGCACTAAGCTTCCTGACCAGGACTAGGCAAGAGCATGGTCTGACTAACCTCTGAAGAAGCATGAAAAGAAGGGACCTTCTGGGGACAAATACCTTCCTGTGATTCTCCGGATCAGCAGAGAGTCTGGGATGCTGAATTCAATCACAGAATCAAGCTTCTCTTTCCTCTTCTCCATGAGGTCATCAAGCTGTAAAAGAGTGTGTGTCCCACCTGAGCTAACAGAGCTTGATCAGACCCATTTCCCTCAAAGGAATCAAGAGATTAAGGGCCGGAGTTCATCACCATGCAATGGTGATACAAAACCAACCCACTCACCATTTCTGCCTGCCTCACAGTCCGAGGGAAGCCATCTAGAAGAAAACCATTTTTGCATGGAGGGGTGTCCAAATTCTTCTCAATGAGCTCCACTACCATTTCATCACTCACCTGGAAGTCAAGAAAAAACAGCCTTGGGTTTAAATCCACTAACTAGGTGACATTAACCCAACTCCCTGGTCACAAGTTTGTATCTTATAACCCGAATGCTGCAGGGGACGGTGGAGGTTGACCAGACTGCAGAAAGCCTCCAACTTTCCCCGTTTCACAATTTTGATTAGACTCACAGTAAAGTGACCCAGGCCACCCTGGAAATGAGGCAACAGAGAAGTTCAGTGAATTGGCAAGACTGGATTAGAACCAAGGAACTGAGGAGCCAGCCCAACACACTTTGAGCCTCTCTGAAAACTCCAATGAGGGCCCTTCCCAGCTTTTGGAGTTTCAAAAACTGGTTTTCTTCCTGGGCCTTCAGAGAAAAAAAAGTTCCCTGCTAGTATTATAGTGAAGGCTGCCCATCTTGGTAGCTAATGCTCTTATCTCCTGGGACCAGCTGTGAACTTGAGGACAAAGTATAAGCTCTGCAACTAAATGAAGACTGGAGATAAGTAATCTCATTGCCACATCCCAACTTTTTCTTAGTATAGGATCTTTGGCCAAGACCCAAAGTCCAGAATATCTAGCTTTCTGGCTTGACTCAAGGCCTCACTGACAAGAAGGGAAAGCTAGAGGGGAAGGGCCTGTGGGCGGGCGCGCAGGGGTCCCATTCCACGTAGCCACTGATCTTCAAAGCCTGACAGGAAGGATTCATTCAAGAATGGAGGCAAAGCCCAGCACCTTCCCTAACCAACATGCTAAGTAAGATATAAAAAGGCCAGAGGGCCAAGCAGAAAATGACTTCTAAAGGTGATTTGCAGAGGCCAAGTCCCAGAATAACTCCGTTACAATTAAGCTCTGGCACTAATCAAAGAAGATTTAGTAGATAATAGATTGCATTTGTTTAATCAGATTAACTGGAATAGAAACAAGCGGAAATACTATTATATCCTCCAAAATAAGAAGGATTACAGTCTGTCAAATGCAATTCCTCTGTTAGAGACACAGAACAGAGTCACAAAAGTAGATCAAAAACACTCCGCGGCCCCTTGAGGCCTCTCTTTAATGTGTCTTTGAGCTTTTGCTTATGGAAGGCAGTTTCATCTGTGGCCCTAAAAATTAGGTATAATACCAAATGCATCAGCACAAAGGAATTTCAAGAATACTATGAATAAAGTAAGTGCCATAAATTCAGAACGAACCAAGTAACCTGCTACCCTTGAAATTCATATCATGCACCAGTTTGTTAAAACACCCTGTAGCACAGGGCTGTCCAAGAGAACTTTCTCCAGCGATGGAAATGTTCTATATCTGTGCTGGCTAGCACACATTTGAAATGTGGCAAGTGAGACTGAGGAATTTAAATTAATTTCAATGGCTTCACATGGCCAGTGGCTACCATTTTAGGCAGTGCAGGTCTATACTCTGAGGAGTATCTATGTGCACTGGTACCACTAAACCTACCAGTTTCCCAGCATCCATAGTTGCCTTCAGCTTTTTTCCCAGTTCTGAGCCAGAAGCCACCATGGCCCTCAGCATGTCCCCAGTAGCCAGATGGCAGACACAGAAGTTTTTGGCCAATTTGGGTGCCTGTGGAGGGGAAAACAAAAACCAAAATACAGTTATCATGGCAGGCCCTGGCGTCAGACTTCCTGGGGATGAACCTGGCCTTGCCACTTGTTGGCTGTGTGAACTCTGGCAAATGCCTATTTCCTTACCTGTAACAGGGATAAAAGTCTCTTATATTCTGTTCTAACATATAATAATTATAAAGTTATAATGCTATGAAATAATACATGTAAAGCAGCTAGCACATAGGAAGCCATCATAAATACTAGCTGTTATCACTACTTCTGCTAGACACATTAGTGACACATAAGCCTAAGTTTCCCCATTCTAAAAGGGAAGAATAAAAATAGCAGTAACAGTATTTCGTACGGTCACTGTGAAGTTTAAGTGAGTTCATGTATACAAAGCACAATGCCTGCCATGTAATGTGTTGAACAAATATTTGCGAAAGGACTGAATGTGTGATTGTCAAGCGCTGTGGCCAGTGACCCGAGCAGCAGCTGGGGCATGGTGAAGAACAGAGGTACCCCCAGGCAAGCAGTCCTTCCCTGTCCCTGGGTAGCTGCATCGTCTTGGCCAAATCGCTTAACCTCTCAAAGGCTTGGTTTCCCCATCTGTTTAAAATGAAGGCAAAAAGGCTTCATCAAGGAAGGTAGCTGTAAGGATCAGATGAGATATATGTGAAGAGCACTTGGCAAACAGTAAGCACTTAATATTAGTTTTAAGAAGCAGTATAGCCTTTTCGTTAGGAGCACAGCTTGAGAATCAAACTGCCTGGGTTTCAGACTCCAGGTATACCAATGACTAGATAGATATGTGACTTGAGAAAAATGTTATTACCGTTTGAAGTGTCAAATGTCCTCTAAGTAAAATGGAGATGGTAATAATACTTACATCACTGAGCTGCGGAGATTATACAGAATTTGGCATACCAGGGCCAGGCACACAGTAAGCGCTCAGTGAACATTAGCTGTACTGTAACCCCTGACCTAAGTCAAGATTCATTCATACAGAAATGAATTTACTCATTCATCACACTGAAGTCTCTTCCAAGAACCCTCCTGGGAGCCAGGGGAACAGATGAATAGGAGACGGAGATCCTGTCCTCTATGAGCTCATACTTTGGTGGACTATACATCAGAATGAAGACTAGAGCAAGAAGAAACCCTGGACAGTTCCACATTGGTTTTGTGCTGGCGATCTCCCAACCCCAAAACAAACAAGAATACTGCAGAACTCTTGAGGAACAGAATCAGTTCAAGGAGCTTAATACCTAGCTTTCTGGCTCCCTTGTTTTATTAAAAAAGTAGAGTTGGACTCTTGTTCAAACCAGTTCTTGGGGACTTTTCTTATATGTACACAATAAAAACTTAATAGATGGGGTTCAATCCAGGAAATTCTGGTTTGTGATCCATGGAATGATTCAGTTCAAGCAAAGAAATGACTTCAGAGCAAAACAACACCCAGATGAGAAGGCCTTAAAAACTTGGGAAAACCAGTGAAGGTCAGGACCCTCTGGCAACAGTAAACCTTCCGGTTCTCCAGACTGGCTGAGTGGCCACCCAGGGAACCGTGCTTTTCTGCCAATCTTTCTCCTTGGCTGTTGAGATTAACTTGGGTGAAAGATTTGGAGGTCATGCGTGTTCAAGGGGAAAGGCTAGTCAGAGCAAAAAGTGCTGTTAGCAGCACAGAACAGAACTGTTCTATTTGCATCCCCACTAAACTACAGGACTCTTCCTCGCTGTTCCAGGTGACTGGATTCTACAGCTACATGGAAGAACGCTCCAACAGAGAAGACGTGGCATGGTAGAAGACTAACTCTTCATTTGCTGCCGGCTGCAAAGGAGTCAGTGTGAAAGGCTGTAAAGAGCTCAGACTTTGGAGTCAGACAGACTTGTGCATGTACCTCCTGGCCAAGCATTCAACAGAAGTGTGACCTTGAGCCAGTTACTCAACTTCTCAGAACCTCAGTTTCCTCACCAGTCAAGTGGGATTATGGGATAACCTCTATTTCTTAGGGCTGTAGTGAAGATAAAATGTCTCTTAACTACCATGTAACCTTAGGCCACAGATTCTTTGAGACTATTCCCTCATCTATAAATTGGGGAGGCTATTACCAAAATCCCTGGGTGGGTAGGAGAAAGAACAACAGACTGTTAACAAATTATCGTTCTTGATCTAATCGTGAAAACCCTAGCATCTGTCAGAGTCGCTCACCTGCCACTTCCCACTTGGTACTTTGTACTAGTATGTAGTTTCCATGCATGTGCGTTTCTGCGTCTATACCTAGATTAATAGCAGCAATGTAAGATGGTGATTGCTATTCAAGAATTAGTTGTGAGTTCAAATCTTGCCTTTGCTACTTTATGTGAATCCTAGGGCAAGATACAGCCTCTGGGCTTAGTTTAACAGTAAGAAGGCATGGATAACAACAGGACCTACTTCCTAGGATCACAGGGCACAAGTAAAGTCTTTGGCTGTGGGTCTGTGACATAATTGAGCAAAAGGTAACTATTTTGCATATTACATTCCCTCCTGGAGGGCAAGGGCTGCTCTCTGCATCTCCAGCACCTGAACTTACCCAGCAAAATACGCATATGGGTGGAGAAAAATCTAACCTAGGGCGGCAGAGAGCAGCAGATAGAGCAGGAGCGCCGGAGTCATCCAGGTGCAAGACATGCCAATTACTTGCTATGTAACCTAGAGCGCAAGGCCTCTGAACTTCAGTTTCTAACTGTAAAAGGGGAAATGAGAGTGTGGGTCTCACAATGTTGAGTGTTGCTGCACTGACATGACTGACAGAGCCAGACCTGCAGGATGGCAGGTAACTGCCTGCGTGTGCCTGGCCCTGAATTGGCACAGACTGGACACGTGAAAGAAACGTGAAGACAGGCTGGCAGATAAAACACAAAAGCAAGCCTATGTTTTGGGGTTGGAACATCCAACCCCAAAAGGGAAGTAAGGTCATTTAAATAAAATACCAAACCCAGGTATTCTGGTGTTTTAAACATCATTATGTTGATGAAAAAGCAGTTTAAAAACATTTAAACATTTTTAGTTAAAAATGAGAGGTTTTAATAAGAAATAGATTTTATTTCAGTCACACCAACATTAAATATTGAGTTATGTAGGTAAAAAAAATACATACTAGTAGGAAGAAATAAAACATCACTGAGCAGATACTAGGCACAAACCTAGGTTAGGGATTTTACATCAAAGATAGCAGACATTTACCAGGCAGGCAATGCAAATGAATGAAATGGCTCAAATGTCAGCAGCAGGCACCGAAGAGAGCGCTATGCAGGGTACAGGAGTGCACATGAGCCATCCACAGTGGCCTTGCCACTCAACCGCATGCCAGGCCAGAATGGAGGCCCAGAGCCACCAGAAGTGACTTCTCAAGAGAAACTGGAGCCCTGCATTTTTAAGTGAAATTTCACAACTGAAATCTGTATGGCCAACTTATTATTTTGAAAGCTGAAAAATAAAAGGAACAAATCAAGCATTTATCCTGATTTTTCTACGCAAACCATACCAAATAGCAGATGAAAGTTTCTCTTTATAGAAATAGTTCAGCTAATAAACAAAAAGTGATATACTAAGATCGCCACCATCTTGCTACCCATGATGAATTCCTGGACCAGGCACTGAACACCAGAGATAAGCAGACCAGATGTGCGTTGTAATGGACAGACAGCACAGGACCACCTGTAACGTGGGCTGTGAAGCTGAGCTCAGATCTGTTCAGTGCATGATCTTACAGATCTGCCACTTTTTCTGTACCAATCTGTACCAAAACAGATTTCCTGTACCAATCCACAGGAAATAGAGAGGAAAGGGGAAGATGTTAAATATGCCATAGAGATATAATAAAAAATTCCCAGAAAGAGGGACACTACCAGGACAAATAATCCAGTTTCTCTCTCTCTCTCTCTCTCTCTCTCTCTCTCTCTCTCTCTCTCTCACACACACACACACACACACACACACACACACACACAAGCTACGGGATAGCTGTAAATTAAGAGACTGACAGTGATCACATTTGTGAGACAAAGCGAAATGTGCACACTGACTATTAAAAATTGTTAATTTTTCAGAAGATATTGTGTTTACAAAAAGAATTTATCTTTTAGAGCTACATAATGAAATAAACACTTCAAATGAAACATTATAATGTCTGGGTGCTGCTTTAAAATGATTTGTGAACGGGGAGTGAACGGGAAAGGAATGGGCACAAGCTGATGCTGGTTGGGGCTGGACAATGGGTGTACGGGGGCTCACCGTGCCATCTCATCTTCTTTTGTGCACTCAAACTCTTCATAATAAAGTTAGGGAGTGTTTGCAAGCAACATGCTGCTGTAGGCTGCCACTTTGTAACCTCTAATTTATGAACTCTTTTTTTTTTTTTCACTCCATAAAACTACCACCTCCAGTATTCCTATCGTTCCAATTATTAACAGCTGTATTGAGGTTAAGTGACTTGTATAAATCTGTCCCTTTCTTCAAGTCCCAGTTCTACTCACATCTCTATTTCCACAAAGCCTCTGACCAACTCCCACCATATCTGCATCCTTATAAATCAGCTCATAATTTTCTTCAAATCTTTCCGATTACATCACCCTTTACACTGAAATACCTGCAAGTTGGGGCAGGGACGAGAGGAGATGGAGATGTATTACTAAGACGAGGGAATCAATAATCATTGAACACCTATGGTGTGCCAGGTTGTCATCTAGATACCTACAGGTGCTTTACACACATGTATAACATTATCTTCCAAAATCCTGGTGAATTTTCGGTCTACATGGGCATTGCTTTATCTGAATAAGTAAGGTAGGGGACCTATTTTTCAGGTGAGAATACTGAGGCTTGGAAGTTACAAAGTTTGCTAGACTATAAAACAATTGTCCCAGCACTGGGCTGGGTTGTCCATTTCACAACTACTGAAATTATTAACTTCAATATGAACTAAGAAAAAATAATCAGTGCCTTTGAGCTACACTGTTTACACTCACAGCAAAAGTCTGCAAAGTCTAAGGCTACAGGTTACCTAATAACCGGGGGTGATAGCAACAGGAAAGAGACCCAGTGTCACTTAGGACAGGGGGATTAGGTAATAGTGAGCCCCAAAGAAGAAATAGCTCAGGCTAAAGGGGATAAAGGGTGAGTGGTCCTTCTTGACCTCATACCAAGAGCTGAAAAGTGAAATCACAAGAATGAACCGAATCTCCCAGACATCCTTTCTCATTATCCACATGAATCTGTATCCATCCATTTCCAATCACCCCACAAAGTGCCAAGGAATGTGCTGGGTGCCACCGAGTGGTCTGTTTGCCAACACTTTGCAATCTTTGCAAGTGTAGGAAGAGAAGAGTGAGCAGTCCCCAGAACCCTATTGGCAGCTCAGACTTTCAGGAATTCCCTTTTCAGAATCTAACAAGCAAGAACCTGGGGCCTGGGGACAATGCCAGGCCCTGGCGGGAGGAGTTGATAATACAACCTATGGGCTTCCAAACCCCAACCTTAATCTATGGGCCCATTGCATCCCAGGCACCAAGTGAGGCCCCACAGTCTGCTACTGCAGAAGGAACTTCAGACTCCAATTACGTGGAGCCCAAGACTCTTGAGGTTCCAGGCTCCACTGAGTCAACTTTGCTAACTTGGGAAATACACCTGACCTCCTAAGCCTGTTTTCTTAACTGTAGATTCAGGTATCCTTCCCCCTCCCCCCAGCGTAACTGGCTCACACAGGTCATACTTCTCTTAGCAGTAGTATTGTACTATTCAGCACATACCAGCTCCCACTCTGCTCCATGCGCTGAAGACGCTCCGCCACCCTCAGTCACTAATCATTATAAGAAACGCTCCCCTACCCCGAGTACCTGGAAAGTAACCCTGGGAAATTCTCTCCCACATCGCTGGGAATTTGGGGGTCTCTGCCGCCACTCAAGCTGTAACCTATGTTTCAGCCCAGTCCTCACCAAACCCTTCAAAATCGTTTCGCTTCAAACTCCTTACAAGACCTGATCAGCCCTTCTATCTCCTAACACGACACCTCAACCCTGGATCCCTCCAGAACTTTAATCCTAACTCACACTTCCCCGACCTCCAATTTCGACCCTCCCTCAAACGTCTTGTCAGAACCCCAGACGCCGGCCTGGGCACCCCAACCATCAGCCAGCGACGCCGCTCTGGGGCGATTCGGTCCTCCAGCCGCCCTGACCTTGGAGCTCTGTGGGCTCCGCCGTCACGCCCGGCCCTGCAGCTCACCTGGGTACCCTTTCCGGCTCCGGGCGGCCCCAGCAACACGGCGCGGATGCCTTTAGGACTCTCGGGGGCCGGTTCGGCCACAGGTACGTTGGGCGCCATGGCTGCCGAAGCCTCACTACTTAACCCGCTAGCACACCTCTCAGATCCAGCGCTTCCAGGCCACCGCGCCACGCACGTACGCACGCCCCGCTCACCGCTCACACTGGTCCCTCGTCACGTCTGTCAATCCCCTTTTCCCGCCCCTGAGTGCGACGGACATCTTTACTTACCAACCACGCGGCGGGAGTAAGGAAGGGGTGGGTCATCATACACTGTTGGCGCTGTGGGGCTCCTGGCGGGTGTGCGGAGTGGGCGGGGAAAGGTGAAGCCAGAAAAGAGGGCCTCTGGGAGTTCTAGTTACGCTTTTTGACAGTTAATGACACCGGCAACTCCCGCGATCCAGCTGAAATCGGCCGTGGGAGTGTAAATGGGTGAAATCAGTTTTACTCATAAACTGGCAATATGTATCAAATATCCTTTGGTCCGACAATTCCACTTCCAAGAACTTAGAGGACATAATGAAAGATATGTATAAAGATTTGCGTAACAAAGATATTAACGGTAGCATTTATAACAGCCAAAAGCCCAAAACAAACCAAAAAACAAAGGTAATATCCCAAATGTTCAACGATAAGAGATTGTTTAAATAAATGGTAAAAAAATGTGTATATTCAAATCCCCCCCCCCACCAAGATATTTAATCACATGGGGGATGTTCACCAAACAGGATACAAAATTGCAGTTACAACAAAACCCCAATCTTGTTTGATAGTTACAGGTGATGGTCTCTGTATAGCGTCATTACATGAGCTTCTCTCTGTCTTAGTGCATTTTTATATTTTCAAAAAGTTCTGTAATAAATTCTCTAATAAACAGATACTACTTTTGTAATAAGAAAATGAACTTTTTAGGTCAGGAAAAGGTGATTTTTCTCAAAAAGATGACCTATCTTGGACAGGGAAATAATTTCCTCAGCTTTTTGGTGTGTGAAAGTTTCATCCACACCCCCTATGAAGCAAGCCCTGCAACTCTGGCAAGACCAGCCCCAAGGGCCCCTTTGGACCTCTGGTCCAGAGTGTGATTATGAAACAACTGGGTTTCCTCACAGGCTCACACTAACCCATCTCCCACATCTGGGTAATGAATTTGCTATCCCTTTAGTTGATCTCTTCTATTTTACCTCACAAAAGAAGTTAACATTCATTCTTCATCTCCATACCGGCTCTCTAAGGTGCCTGACCTTGAAGGAGACAGGACTTGTTTGCTCATTTTTCAAGAAGATATGCAGTGACCAGCCCGAAGCCACACAGTAGCACAGTCACAAGACTGGGAACAACAAGGTGGTGCCCCAGCAAGCACAGGGTTCATAGGGGTGAGGGTGAGGGTGGGAAAGCAACATATATTGGCTGAAAGAAGCTGCTATGTGGCCAAAATTCACTTTAATCCAATAAGACCAGAGTTCATCAAGGTTCTCCCAGAACACCAAGCAAAGGGCATAGGAGCAGCCTTTCCTTTCCACCAGCAATCTCGACGGTGATACTTACCAGGCATGAACCCCCGAGGAGAAAAGCAACTAAGGCTACACATAAATACATGCGGTGTAAGGTTTATTTCTTCAATTTTTAAAAATATTCTAGGTTTTGGGGCATACTAAGGACCGTAAAGGGAATATTGAGAGCCCAGGGGAAGGAGGGAGTACCTCATTCATTTTTTTCACTCAATCATTAATGTTTTCAAGATTTTATGTATTTATTCATTTATTTTTAGAGAGAAGGGAAGTGAAGGAGAAAGAAAGGGAGAGAAACATTAATGTGAGAGAGAAACATCAAACAGTTGCTTCTTGTACATGCCAACCCAGGCATTTGCCCTGACCAGGAATTGAAGAAGTGACTTTTCACTTTGCAGGACAATTTCCAACCAACTGAGCCACAGCCATCAGGGATCAACTATTGTTTTTAAAAAAGATTTTATTTATTCCTTTCTAGAAAGAGGGAAAGGGAAGGAGAAAGAGAGAGAGAAAAACATCAGTGTGCAAGAGAAACATCTCAATTGGTTGCCTCTCACATGCCCCCCACCAGGGACCTGACCCACAACCCAGGCATGTACCTTGACCAGGAATTGAACCGGCAACCTTTTGATTCACAGACCAGTGCCCAATCCACTGAGCCAGAACAGCCAGGACTCAACTATTAATTTTTAGTAATAATTGCTACCATCAACCTATTATTAGGTACTGCCTGCTAGGACTGTGCTAAGCACTTCACATGCATTGTCTCCTCTAATTTTCACAACAAGCTAACTAAATATGAGGCAACTTCTTTATTATCTGCATTTTTTTTTTTTAAGAGAAGAGATGGGTGCAGGTTGGTTAGCCTGTGACTGAGCAGATTTGAGCTCAGGTCAGTCTGACTGGCTGGAGCCCAGCACTGCCAGGTTAAAAAAAAAAAAAAAAAGGCAGTTTCTGCACACATGGGACTCACAGTGCATCTGGGTTCCAGCTGGAGGGATCATGGAAGCTTCTGTGAAAGAGAAGGATACAGAGGATTTGGCTTTGGGGTGGGAGACATTTCAGGCTGAGAGCACATTTGAAGCAAACCCTCAGAAGTGAGAGAGAGTAGGGTGTGCTGTGGTTTCTATTCAGTGGACTTTGGGGAATCAGGAAGTTTCTTATGTAGGACAGTAATAACCAGATTCACATTTTATAAAGATCACTTGCAGGACAGACTGGAGAGGAGAGAAAGAGATGAATGCAAGACAAGCAAAGAAATATTTCTGTTAGCCCTGGCCAGGTAGCTCGGGGCTAAAGTTAGAGCATCGTATTGATACACTAAGGTCGTGGGTCCAATCCCCAGTCAGGACACATATAAGAATCAACCAATGAATATGTGAATGGGTGGAAGAACAAATCTCTCTCTCTCTCCACCCGCCCTCTCATCAATGAATAAAAAAAAAAAAAGAACTCTTTCTGTTAGACACCCCTCCCCCAAAGATGTCCACGTCCTAATCTCTGGAACTTGTGGCTGTGCTACCTTACATGGCAAAAGGGATTTTGCAGATATGATTGTTAAGGATTTTAAGATGGACAGATTATCCTGGATTATCTGGCTGGGCCCAATATAATCACAAAGGTCCTCATAACAATGTGAGGGAAGCAGGAGAGCCAGAGAAGGGGACGTGATGACAGAAGCAGAGCTCAGAGTAGTGGCATTGCTGGCAGGGGACCCCAGATCATGAAATGACGGCAGCCTCTGCAGCGGGAAAGGCGAGGAAACATTCTCCGCTAGAGCCTACAGAAGGGACACGCCTTCTGCTGGCACCTTGACTTTAGCCCCATAAAACCCACTTTGGACTTTTGACCCCTGGAATTGTAAGATAAATTTGTGTTGTTGTAAGCCACCAAATTTATAGTAATTTGTTACAGCAGCACTAAGAAACCAATACAGGTTGTTTGAATGCAAGAAAGGTAGGAATTCACTGGGAGGGTACAGCTGTACCACTATCAGTCTTGGGAATGAGAAGAGATTGGGATGCTTTCACAATTTAGGTATCAGCACAGTGCTGAGGGGAATTTTTATTCCCTCCTCCAGCTTTTTCCATGTGGAGGGACCTCTTTTAGAGTGACACTCTGGCCTCTTGCCTCACCTTCTCACCCATCTATCCTCCCCAGAGAAGAAGAGAAATGACTTATCTGATTGTTGAGTTTGGGGAAAATGAATGGAGCTCAGCCTCGCTCTTCCTCCCTCTTTCTCCTTTAGATCTGCCTGGCCACAAGAACCATGGTTTTTTGCTTTCTTCTTCCATACTCTAAATTTCCCAGGGTCTGATCCTTATGGGGAAGGCTAAGATTTTCCAGCACTTCATGGGTTCAGGAGAGAAGATTAACTTTGGGGTTCAGTATAAGTAAGATCACTTACCTATCAGGCCTTAAGATATATCTCCAGCAGCTTTGTTAGAAATAAAGGTGATATTTTGATCTCTCTCTGTCTTACCTCATAGCTATCCCTCATTTGGGTGAGGCTACCGCAAAGCTCAAAGAACAATTTCTTATGGGTGCTCTGATTGGAATGACTCAGCTACTGTTTTCTATATCTGTGTCATTCTGTTCAAGATTCAAAATACTGGCTTGGCTTGGATCCCACATTCACCCCTTGGCACAAGTAGAATTCCCTCAAGACTGCCTGGAATGGGAAGTAGTTCCCTAAAAGCAAATGTTTTTCCAAAATAAGAGGGAAGAGCTAATAAGCAGGAAGAAATGACAGATGTCCCACTGCAGGGAGCCATTACAAAGGTCCAGGACAATGCAGGTAGAATTAATGAAACTTGATGCCAGGCCAGATGGGGATAAGGATACCCAAGTCTTAGGGCCAGGTGGCTGGGGGTGCGGTGGGGGGTGGTGCCATTAATATCCATCTCATTCATTCTTTAATCGATTCATTCAACATACATTTAGTGAGCTTAGGTTATGTGCCCAGTATTGTGCTTGGTGGTGGAGACCCAGTGGTAAACAAGGTCAGAGTGTCCACCCTTTTAGAGCTTACAGTCAAGAACTTTGGCGATTACAACCTAGTGATGGAGATCATGCTGCCGTGGGAACCCAATGGACGGGCACCCGGCCCAGATATGAAGGGAAGTGACATCTAAAAGAGATGAGGAGGATTTGCTTTGAGAAGAAGGAGGGGAAGGGAATGCCACACAAAGGGAACTGTGTGTGTAAAGGCCTGGAGGCAAGAGAGACTGGAAAGCTGGGAGAAACCATGATACTCAACAGAGGAATGCCTCTCTTATGCTGTGAAAATCTTATACTGCAAAGGACAGAATCCTGCCTGCCTTCCTGGAAACTGGGGAGTGAGTGCATGACCAGGCCTGACCAGTGGGATGTTCCTGCCCAGGCCTTTGACCTTTGAGGGAGAGAGGGGAAGTTCATGGAGCGGGGGAGGGGAGAGTCCAGCAGCAGTGGGCGGCCAGTGGTCATTAGTGGCTGCCCAACAAAGCTTTCCTGGCGCCTCCTTGCTTTTGGTTCCTATCCATGTTTGGAATTTGTGAGCCCCCCCACATTGCAGGTTTCCCTAGCTATCCAAAAGTTAACTGTTTATGGGAAAACTGTTGTGAGCCAAAATGGCACAGAT